ACAAAGCCAGCAGAGGTGGGGCTGGGATTTACACTTGCACCACCTGCTGTAGAATCATGTGCTCTTTTCTCCCCAAAGGGAGTCACTTACGCTGAGTCCCACGCCAGCAAAGCCAGACTTTAATAATTTAGTTACAGTTTTGGCCTCTCCCAGGAATGGAATCTTAAACCCGTCAATCTGGAATTACCCGGTCAGTGAGGTAACCTGCCCCAGACCCTGCTGCCCCCGAAGGGAGGTGACCTGGCACGGCCACTCTGGCTTTTATAGTGAAACTTGCTGTCCGCTCCCTCTGCCTGTTTCCCACTGTGCTCAGCTCCGTGGGGCTCCTTTCTGTCTGGTAGATGGGGTGCTGCCCAATGCACCAGTCACTGACTAACAGCCAATCAGAGCTTTATATTTTACTCAGTTGAATTTTGTTTTTCCACACACTATGAGGTCATTCTTTGCATAAAATTAGAGCCACAGGGGTCATCCTAAAGGTGATCTAGTCATTCTTTGCATAAAATTAGAGCCACAGGGGTCATCCTAAAGGTTATCTAGTTCAAACCATCCATTTTTTTTTAATTAAAAAATGAGTCTTGCGGCAGGAGTAGTAAGCTGGTCACAGGTAAGGGCAGGTAAGAGCAGAGTTTGAACTAGAGGTTGGCTCCTGACACACCCAATACACACTTTCTCTCAAAACCAGAGCATAAGTTCCCCTTTCCCATAATGCACTGCCAAATCTTCTCTTGACAGAGTATTCTGACTCAACCCAAAATTATATCTTAATGATGACCCACCTACTAAATGGTGTGAATTAGCCAAATACACAAAATATCTTATACAGAGGGGCACAGGTAGTTATATGCTTCAAATAAAACAATCCTTTTAAAAAGTAGAAAACCTTTATGGGACAAATTCTATATCTTTTGTAAATTTAAAAAAATCCTATGTGTTAAACATAGTAATCACCTTCTAGCATGATTTTCCAGATACATAAAAAAAAAAGTCTCTAGCCTCACACTGGTGTCAGAGGACAGGCCATCTGAATGCCAAAGCTGTCAAAATGAATCAATAGAAGCATTCTCCTGACTGGACAGCAGAGGGCGACAGAGGAAGGACAGGCCCAGAAGGAAGACGCTGGCCCTTACTAGGGGAACTTGCCCAGTGGACAGCAGGCAGGGCCAGGTTTACAGAGAAGAGACTTATAAACAAATCCCTGGTGGTCCCAGGCACCAGGCCACATGGATGGGCACTCCCAGCAACTCCAGGCCTGACCCAGGAAACGGCCCGACCCCAGAAATTAACAAACGGCATTTCAACCTCTGCGTGGTTTCCAAGTGGGAGGGGAAGAGACGAAAAATACTAAAACCCAAAATGTACTCGATCTTGAAAAGCACAAAAAGAGCAAAAATGGGCCTGTGAGATTAAAAATTAAAATAAAATACAAACTTAAGCAGTTATGCCCGAAGTAGAAAAAGATCTTTAAGGCACAGAAAGCCTCACCCTCAAGATCCGAATTCCTGAGAATCAGTCAGTGCGGATCTCACGGGTTATTAGTCTGCGTACTTGGAGCTGTGGCAGAAATGAGCTTCATTAGAGAGAATCACCTGATATCTAGGAATCTCCTCTACCGGCTGACCTATCCTCAAGACAGACTGGTTTCTAAACCTGATATGTAATAATAATGTCTCAATGGACACAAATATTGAGCTGACTATAAATTCACATATAACAAGCATGTCGCTAGTCCATATACCCCCTCCCAGGGACATAGGAACCCAATGAAGGCATTGCCACCTTGGCATCAAGTGGCTTCAGCATATTTTATTTGATCTCTGATGTTTTCAGAGAGAGAAAAAAAAATCCTGTTCTAAAGGGAGGAAATGAGGAATAGAGTGAAGACATAAAATGGAGCACTATAGTCAAACTGCTAAATCACTAAGTCCAGTAGGACAAGGCATGAGGCGACTATTCTATCCTTGTTCCAAGTAGCCTGGGGACTTAAACATTTCTGAGCTGTCCAGCCCTGCGTCAATGCCGATACATAACCTCCACATAGCCCTCTGCTTACCCCGAAGGACTCAGGAAAGAACGTTCCTGCATCCAGACCACGGGCCACCGAGAGCAGCGGTCGCCAACCTCTCGGACTTCACGGAACACCAGTTGGCAACCACTGACGTAGATGAATGCCATTTCGCACCAATACAGAAGCTGTTATTGCAGGACTGACTCGACCGCTGACCTAGATGAATGCCACTTCGCACCAATACAGAAGCTGTTATTGCAGGACTGACTGTTCTCAAGGTGCACTTTTCCCTCTGAGAACCCTCAGCTTGTATTTCTTCTTTGGAACACTCTGGCTATTGCTAAGTTGTGTTTCCAGTGTGCAAACACTAGGACCTTTGAATAAACCTTTATATCATTTATTTCTTAAAAAAGAATCAGTGAAGTGGCCATTTTATGTTCTCATTTAACTGAGCTTCTGTCTTTGTTGTCTCATCAAACCTACTCACAGTTCCATTCCACCATGCAGGACAGATGATCGAAATGCCAGTGCCGATTCAAATAACTAACGTGTGGCAGAAACAGATATATTTATATGCTTTCTATAAAGATTAATAGTAGCTGCTGTTAGCCTGCCAACTGCACGTGTACACACTTCCTGTCCCACATGTAAATCAAACACGAGGCATGTGGCGGATTGTAAAGAAGTGCTGATGTTACAGCGATCTTACGTTACTCAGGTTCCGGATTAAACTATGGCGATGTTGACTAATGTGGCAATATGCTCTGGATCTCTCCACATTAATTTCATGTTATAAAAGGTAATGGCATTCACAAAAAAGGTCTCAGAAATTAAGAACAGGGAATGCAAACATATTTGAAATCAAGAGGTATATTTCTATAATCAATTATTTGCTAGTGTGGGCACATTCATTATAATATGATTCCAGTAACCACTGTCAGTTGGTAGATTATAATGAGACTCACTGTTTTGGTCCTCATAAAAGTGACTCTAATAACAAAGGAAAACTAAACACACTGACAAAAGGAATGAAGGAGCAGTGGCTGAATCAGAGATGCCGCTGATGAACTGAAAACTACTGAAAAGTTTCCAGCTGCTGACTGCCGAAACCAGCGGTTCTGCAGAAAAATAATGAAGGGGCAATTAATTCGATAGGAGAGCAGAGTGGTTTGTGAATGTCGAAGGAGCAGTGGCTGAATCAGAGATGCCGCTGACGAACTGAAAACTACTGAAAAGTTCCCAGCTGCTGACTGCCGAAACCAGCGGTTCTGCAGAAACCAGCGTCCCTCAGAAGGAAGGCAGAGGACTAGACCGCAAACTCCTGGGTGAACTTCTCCGTCACCTCGTGGGCTGGCACCGCCCACCTGTCAGGGACGCGGTGAAAGTGAGATGAGAGGCGTGTGCCCGCAGGCAAGTGCTTTGTAAACTGCCAGCTTATGTCTAAGTGCCAGGTATTATCATCACCCTCACACGCAAGTCACTTCCTACTACGTCTTAGTCACTGTTTAAACAACAATTATCTATCCTGTCAAGTGATCTAGGTACAAGAGACATGAAAGCTGCATCGGTGGAAACACCGTTTTTAAGAATAAAATCCGCACAGTGGCTTTTGAAACTGTTCAAGAAAGATTGAGCATTTCTATTCACACAGACGGCTGCTCTGAATTTTGGGTCTCCTTCCGACGACACCAACTGTTTGGATCACAGAACGCACAGCGCCACGAGAGCGTGAGAACAGGCAGCTGCGACATACATGCGCGCCACTGTTGCAACGGAACCCAGAGAAAAGAAAAGTCTGGCTCCTCATCTCGGCTCAGAGGGTCAGAATATGCCGTGCACGGAACAAATCACGTTGGCAAGGGCCAGGGGAACAACCAGCATCAGGCACATTGGGTGAGATGATCCACCACTAGTCACAGACACAGATTCAGAAACGACATTCCAACACGTGGAAAATATTTCTCAGGGTGAGGTCCTGGGAGTTCCAGTGAGGCACGCAGGCAGGGGAAAGCAGGAAGTCTTAACTCCTCAAGACTTAGAATACCCCACTTCCCTGGGGTCTTTAATCACATCATTAAATTGTGGGTACGCTGAGATATGTTTTTAATACAATTGGTGGAGCTCTTGTTCCTGACAAGTATAAATAATTGCATACTCATTCATTCATCCACTCATTCATTCAATACCGATTTACTCATGGATACCTAGCAGGAGTCAGGAACTGTGTTAAATGCTGGGAATACAGATGTCAATATGTAGACACGGGCCCTGGCTTTATGGCTCTTACATTCTAGTAAAAAAGAGAGAGCAGCAAAAAATATATATACAAATGAGTGACTTGTGATAATCATGATACCGGTAAAGGCCATGAAGAAATGGGGTAATGCAGTGGAGGTTACATGGAGGTGTTGGAGGCTACTTTAGATTAGTGACCAGGGAAGCTTTCTCTCAGGAGGAAACCAATGAGACTGAGCCGGCCAAGGGAAGAGGTGGGAATGAGGCATTCCAAGCAGAGGGAACAGGACGTGCGAAGGCCCTGAGGCAGGAAGGGCTTGGAGCGCTACAGGCAGTTGAGAAAAGAAGCCAGGTGGCTAAAGGACAATGAGTAGGGGAGAAGAGTGTGAGCTGAGGTCAGAAGAGAGGCCGGGAGCCCCATTTTGCATGCACGCTATGCAGGCCCGGTTCAGGAGATTTAAAGGAGAAAGGTTTTAAAATCTTAATGGTCATTTAATGGCACAATCTGACTTACATTTAAGGGTATCGCTCTAGCTGCACATGTGTAACATATGTATAAACACAACCTTTATTCTAAAGATGCTAGCATTTGAAGAAATCAGAAAACATTTTGAATGCATTTCTAATCATTTAAATAAAAATAATCTTAGAAAAGCAGACATTTAAAAAGCCCCAAAGAGCTACCCGAAGACCAGTAAGTTAAACAATGGATTATGAGTTAAAAAAAAAAATCAAAGAACAAAATAAACCTACATACCTCCTCGTTGCACCAACAAGGTGACCTCACTGCCCTTTGGACATTCGATCAGCATGTCCACCACCTGGTTGTGCGTGAGGGCCTGCACGTTCTTCTTGTTCACTTCCACGATGAGGTCCCCCTCCTTCAGGCCGCGGCACCGGGGGCTGTCCACGATCTGCTTCACCCTTTGGCCGCCCCCTCCAGGACTGTCTGCGATAGTGAAGCCAAAGCCCATCGGCCCTTTGACTATATGGACAGTTATGAGTTCTGGCTGAGTGGCTATGGAGGAAGCCAACGAGACAGTGTCATTGGGGTAACCATGGGAACCGTTGGAAGCCACGTCGGCTGGACTGCTCGGCCTGGCGTCCTTCATGCCGTTGACTTTGCCTGTTTTACTGCTGTGACTAGCTGGTGAATCGTAGGTCTCCTGCCCATTCACGATAATCGGTTCTTTATCCAAAATGGCCACTGAGGTCACTAAACTCGTATTGGGGTCATCTGGGTCAAAAGGCAACGGATAACCTCGGCAGAGTTCAAGGTCCACACTGGCACCGATGGGAATGGACTGGAAGATTTTCACAACTTGCGCATGTGTGTGTCCCAAAACGCAGGTGTCGTTCACGCTGACAATTACATCTCCTGCAAAAGGTAAGAGTTTGGGGATTAAAAAAAACAGTACGCAGAAAATCTACCTCGATATCTATAATAAAAAAAGGGTTATAGACTAATTAGACCCAACATCCTTCCGGGCATCATTCCGGATGTCACCAGACGAAGCTGGGGCCGTAGTGAAGCCCGGGCCCCGGGTGCCTGCCGGCGGCGGCTGGAGGGAAGCAGCCCGGGTCCCAGGTCCCAGAGGGAAGCCGGTGCTGGCAGCCGGGGGAAGGAAGGCCTACTCTTGCACGAATTCGTGCATCGGGACTCTATTTATGATATAAACGCCTACCAACAGGAAGCTGATCTGAAACTGGATTTGGGGGTGGCATCGTAGGACACAAAGGGACTCCTATCACTGATTTTAGTGGCTAACAAGGCATTTGTTCAGCACCCAGTGTGGTCCCTGCCTGTGAGAAGATAGGGTCACTGAAAGAACATGGGCGCTTTCTTCTAACACAGATCCTTACTGCAGAAATCCAAGCTCTGAACCCATCTATTCAAACCGATCTACACTCTCACAAATCACGGCTCCACTCCACTCAGTAGCACCCTAAGAGCTCCCCGAAGGTGACATGGCCTCACAGGTTTCCATCTCCACCAGGGAATGCATGTACGGAGTGGAGGAGCTGACACAGAGGAGGTGATTAAGCCCAGAACCACGCTGCTGTTTGGTCTCGGGTGGTGCCAGCAGCACCGGCCATGCTGCCCCACCTGTTTCCATCTTGCCGTCCAGCGCAGCGGGACCATCCAGGACGAGGCTCTTGATCTGCAGAAACTCGTCAGGTTCGTCCCCTCCGACGACCGTGAAGCCAAAGCCACGGCTGCTTTTCCGCAGCTTCGTGTGAATGAACTTGCCTTTCAGTTCAGAAGGGTTTCGTGTAAAAAAGGGTTTGCCTAGATTAAAAGAAGAAAAAGTAAAGGAATGTCAGGACGAGTAAAAAAGGTGAATAAGTAGGAAATGCTACAACTTCTAGGTCATCTCCACCCTCCTGTGCCGGGGCACTGGGGTACACAGGTGCCATAAGAGAGTCTCTCCCAGTTTGAGGAGGGGCACGTGGTACAGGCACACGTCAGCATGAAGCTCTGAAGGGAAACGCAAGAGCAGGAGAGAGGGGTCCGTCACCCGACCCACGTGCACGGTTCGGCTCACGTGGTGTGACAGCGGTCACGCTGCCACGCGGCCCTTCACAGAAGGCGGAGTGGACTTTGCTTTCTGCCTTGTGTTTTGTTATAGTTTATATTTTGCAATACAGCTTCCAATGTGTTGCCTCAGGCTTGTTTTCCACTTGTAAAACCAATTCATCAAAATCTTCAGCTTTTAATCAAACAGAAATCTCACTCTGAAAATACATAGATCATACTAAGAAACATACTCTGGTCATGAATAATTTTATAAAATAGTACCATCACTGTTTTCAAAATAAAGAGAGTTATAATTTTACTTTGATTTGAATTCTAAATTAAACGAATTTTTCCTATTAATTTGCGTCTTTTAACATTTTGTTGAGTAGTCTGGACATGCCCACTGCTAAAATCTACTGTTTTAAAAAAAGTTTAGGGGTGGAGGTGAGCTCAGTGGCAGAGCACATGGTTTGCATGTATGAGGCCCCAGGCTTGATCCCTGGCATAAGTAAATAAATAAAGTTTAGAAGTGGCTTGGAATATTTTAAAAAATAAAACAAAATTTAAAAACCTAAACTAAGCAAAATAGTTACTACAAGAGCCATATAGCTCCAAATTCAGTTTTTTTATTATTTAAAAAAAATATACTTTATTGATTTTTTTACAGAGAGGAAGGGAGGGGGATAAAGAGTTAGGAACATCAATGAGAAACATTGATCAGCTGCCTCCTGCACACCTCCTACTGGGGATGTGCCTGCAACCAAGGTACATGCCCTTGACTGGAATCGAACCTGGGACCCTTCAAGCCACAGGCCAATGCTCTATCCACTGAACCAAACTGGTTAGGGTCAGTTGTCTTACTTAAAATAAAAATGTATGTAGCTAAATAACTTCCAGATATGCTACCTAAGGTTTTATTGAATTTTCTTGATAGCATTCATAAATAACATCTTGTAGAGTAACCAAAATTTCTGTGTTTCATTAGTTGGGCATTTCACTATAATTTAAAAATTTACTGGAATTTCTCTGGTTATCCCAAATAGTGGATATAATTCAAGGCCCAGATTCTTCAACTCTCCTAATTATAATTCCCGTCTCCAGTCCTTGCTACAGCTGCCCCATGTGCCCTATTTCTCTTCTATCAAAAATGTTATTTTAAAAAACCAAAACCACAACAGGCGGATATGTCTTCCTCGACCGGCACGAGAGAGCCTGACACCCAGAAAGAAAGCTAGCTTTGGTTAGCTGTCTCGAAAAGGCCTTTCTCAAAAGGTCTCTGTACATACATACAATTTATAACGGCGTATTTCAAAAATTTCTGGCTCTTAAAAAGCTCTTTCAAACTGCCTAGAGCAGTGGTTCTCAACCTTCCTAATGCTGTGACCCTTTAATACAGTTCCTCATGTTGTGGTGACCCCCAACCATAACACTATTTTCATTGCTACTTCATAACTGTAATTTTGCTACTGCTATGAATCGTAATGTAAATATCTGATATGCTATATGTGTTTTCCGATGGTCTTAGGCGACCCCTGTGAAAGGGCTCTGTCCCAGGGCTACAGGAAGTGAGGGTACAGCAGGACTCCCTATGGCAGGACTCCCCCTTGTGAACAGCCAGCACCCCTGAGGCAGAGGCAGAGGCTGCTAGGGAGCTCAGAGCCCTTAAAGCTTAAGGGGAACGCCCTGCAGGGACCCCAGGAGCCGCACCCCCTCAGTGAGGCTTCCTGGTCGCCTTAGGTGAAACTGCAGGACCTCCCAACATTCCAAGCCCCCTTTCCAGCTTCATTTTGTTGTTGTTGTTAATCCTTACCCGAGGATATATTTCTCCATTGATTTTCAGAGAGAGTGGAAAGGAGGGGGAGAGACAGAGAGAAACATCAATGTGAGAGACACATCGACAGGACTGAGGATTGAGCCTGCAACGGAGGTATGTGCCCTTGACCAGAATCAAACCCAACACCCTTCAGTCTGCAGGCCAATGTTCTAACCTCTGAGCAAAACGGGCCAGCACTGCCCAATACAGTCTCCCTCTCACTACTGACCTGGTGCTTTGGCTCACTGTCCCCAACCCACATATGAGGGGCAGCGCACATGCACATATAGCCACCAGGTAGCTGTGAGCTTGGTGTGGCCTCTGCTTGATACCCAGTGTGTAGAACACTGCCCTTCTCATTTTACCTGCTCCAAAAACTCCTGCTCAGTGAGTGAATGAATGAACAACAGCTCAAAGAAATGAGATTTAACTGTCTTTCAGAAGGCTGAAGGTCTTGGCGGGTGTTTAAGCTTTTTACCCTTATTATAGGTGCAGTGACAAATGTGAACATGTGTCAGTTTATCTGAATGAATTTTTTAAGCTATCAGCATATCCTGAGCTTAAAATGTTTTCAATGTAATACAGCAGGAGCAGAGCACTGCTGTCCTTTCCCAAGGCTTACCTAGGGAGGCAGACCAAAGGGCTCCCCATTCACCCCCTTTTATTGTGTTTACTAGAGGCCCAGTGCACAAAAATTTGTGCACTGGGGGGGGGGGTCCCCTCAGCCCGGCCTGTGCCCTCTCGCAGTCTGGGATCCCTCGGGGGGATGACCACCTGCTGGCTTAGGCCTGCTCCCCGGGGTATTGGGCCTAAGCTGGCAATCAGACATCCCTCTGGCAGCCCAGCAGCCCTTGGGGGATGTCCACTTGACAGCAGGGAGCAGACCTAAGCTGCAGTCAGACATCCTTAGCGCTGCTGAGGAGGCGGGAGAGGCTCCCACCACTGCTGCACTGGCAGCCATCAGCCTGGCTTGTGGCTGAGCAGAGCTCCCCCATGTGGGTGTGCACTGATCACCAGAGGGCAGCTCCTGCATTGAGCATCTGCCCCCTGGTGGTCAGTGTGTGTCATAGTGACCAGTCATTCCCAGTCTTTCTGCTGTTAGGGTCAGTTTGCATATTACCCTTTTACTATATAGGATAGAGGCCTGGTGCACGGGGGGGGGCCGGCTGGTTTGCCCTGAAGGGTGTCCCGGATCAGGGTGGGGGTCCCGCTTGGGTGCCTGGTCAGCCTGGGTGAGGGGCTGATGGCTGTTTTCAGGCTGGCCACACCCCCTTTAGGTTGGGGGTCCCCATTGAGGTGCCTGGCCAGTCTGGGTGAGGGGCTGAGGGCCGTTTTCAGGCTGGCTGGCGACTGAAGCTCTCAGCCTCTCCTTTTTTTCTTTTTTTTTTATTCTGGGATTTATTTACCTTCTATAATTGAAACTTTGATGCTTTCGGAACTGTTGCTTTCAGAGCTCAGAGCCGGGCTGCGGCAGGCGGGGAACCTTGGCTTCCTCCATCACTGGAGCAAGCAAGCCTCCTGCTCGCTTCAGCTGCGTGGCTGCCAGCTGCCAGCTTGGTTGGCGGTTAATTTGCATATCGCCCTGATTAGCCAATGGGAAGCGTAGTGAAGGTACAGTTAATTACCCTTTTTGTCTTTTATTAGATAGGATGGGATGGTCATCAGTTAGTGGGGCTTTGGGGAGAAATGCCTTTCTATCCACAGCTGTGGGTCTGAGGCTCTGCTCAGCCCCGTGCACATGTCACTCTCTACCCACAGCTATGGGTCTGAGGCTCTGCTCAGCCCGTGCACACGCCACTTTCTCAGAGAGCCTCGTCTCCTGACTGGTGCCACTGGTGCTTCTGTGGTGGAAGGGCACCACCTGGGGAGCTTTGGGAAGCGACTAAGTTGAGGGCCTGCCTTAGACTCACTGAACCTGGACCTTCTGGGTCTTGGCCCCACATCTGCTTCTAACAACCCTGAGGTGCTTGCTTCCCTGTCAGGTCAGTACTGCTCCGGGCACCAATGGGTAAAGGTGTAGGCCACTGCTGAACACACACCTTCTGCAGTGAGGGTGTAACTGGAGGCAGGCTCAGCACGGAGGTGAGAAGCAGAAGAGGGCAGGAATCATGAGGTCCCCAGTGAGGGAGCAGTGAGCTCTCCTAATCTAAACCAATGTGGGGGCCAGAGACTCAAAGGAGAAAAGAAAAGGAAAAGAGGCCTAGAAAGGAGAAGGAGGCTCCTAGCACAGATCAGTACCTCTGGACCCGCACTGCAGCCGGGGCACTAAGGTTTGGCACCAGCACCTGACCCTTTAAAGCAGTGGTCACCAACCGGTGGTCCGCAGGCCACTGGTGGTCTGTGAGGTCCGGAAGGTTGGCGACCGCTGCTTTAAGTGTTGATTGACTTAATCTCTAAGACAATGCTTTAAGGAAGCTCTGCTGCTTATTGTGCATGTATATGTGCATGCATGTATGTATGTTTACACATATGTATATTCTTTTACTCCACAATACATTTTAGCAGATGCCAGATACCCAAGGAATGTGCCTGGTTTGGAGGGCCCTACAGCGAGAAAGCAGCCCCCTGCCTCTGCGATTTAGAGTCTAAAGAGGACACAACTGTTAAGTAGCTGAACACACAGAAACACTAATTATAACTGTTAGGTTCTAAAAATGAGAAGAATAAGATGGAAAGAGTGACTGTAACAGGGGAATCTAGCCATAACCTGAGATGAGTAGAAGCTAACAAAGCAAACACTGGCAGGAAAAGACAGCTGCAGAGGGAACAGCATATGCAAAGGCTTTGACATGGTCCAAGGTTCACTGGTTTAAGGAACAGAAAAGAGGTTTAAGATACGTAAAAGTTAGTGTAGCTGACTTACCAGGAGAGGGGAAATATGACAACATGAGGCTGCTGAAGGAGTATTATATTTAAAAAATATGAAGGAGGCACAATCGTGTTGATATTAATTAATGCTATTATCTACTTGCTATCTTCATTAAAGCCATTATCATCCTAAAAAGTTCATCCAAGGCAGCAGAAGTTATTTTACATAAATTGATGTTAATACTAATCTCATGACAATATCAACTAGAAGGGAAATTTCTTTCTTATGAAAATTATAATGGAGGAATCAAAATTATAGAAAATAATTATTCTACTTATCTATTTACATCTTTTTTAAAATGGAGAGAACAAATTTTATAGTCTTTTTAACAGTTCTGAACCACAAATGTTCCTCAACTCTACCGAATATGATGCTCGCCTTATTTAAAAAAACAACACACTAAACAAACAAACCCGAAAACCTTTTCTATCATTTAAGAGTTATGAGGCCTGAAGTAGCAAGATTCTGGAGCTTTCAATTTTCAAACGTGAACCTCTCCAGGGGGCTTAAACTTTCTGTGAATGCAAACCAATGAGACCCAACAAAATGTTGTAAAATGTGGGTAAATGCCAAAACTGCAGCCAGAATCAGAGACGAGAATTTAAAACAACATGTCCAACCATTTTACAGTTGCAGAAAAATTTTAGTTAAAACCAAATATGGCTGACTAGGATCTTGAAATATCTAATGCTGAGTTTTCAAGTTATTTTACACAATTGTTAAACATCTGTGGTCTCTAAATCCCAGTGGTTCTTGACCCTGGGACGGTTTTGCCCCCCCCCCCCCCCCCCCCCCCCCCCCAAAAATGCCACAAAAGGAGGCTGCTATGGCATCTAGTGGGTGAGGCCAGGGAAGCTGCTCACACCCTACAAGGCACAGCTTGGCCCACAGCACAGAGGGATCTGTGCTGAGGCTGAGGAAACCTGGTTTAATCCTTGATGACAAGGAGTGGTCACTTTCAGAACATCACAAAGAGCTGAAGGAATTCACACAACAATGTTTTTAATATTTTTGACACTTCTGATCACTGATGCATTTAGAATTTTAATCATCATGGTTTTTACGATCAAAGGAATGAGTTGGGAATTGCAAGATTCCACTTCTTAAAGTACCTTTTAAAATATCAGGTTTTTGAGCTAAAACGATGGTGCGATTATATAAAGCCTTACCCTGAAGGGGAGGGTCCCTGGCCGGCTCTGGGTTGCTTGGGGGGTGGCTGGGAATAGCAGGAGGCACGAGCGATGACCGGTCTTCTGTCCATTCTGCAAGAGAGAGAACCAATAGCTCACTTAGGATCCACCTTCTTAATGTAAAGTTGCCCAAACCAATAAAACCAGGGGCCAAGACTTAAAAAAAAAAGGCATTTGATCCCACTCTCTATTAATAATACCAAGATACCTCTCTCTGTCTCTCTTTCCTAAGACCTTTGGGGATAGAAATATCGTGGTATGCCCAATAAATCCTCAGTTCTCTCTGGCTGGAGAGTCCAAAGTGAGACCAAGCAAAACACATCAGGAAAGACACAAAACGAAGTGAACTCAGCCAGCCCAATGTGACAGAGACATGGGCGGGCTGCTCAGCCAGCTTGTCTCAGGGAGGGAAGGGGTTTCAGCAGTTGGCTGAGAGGCTATCTCTTGTCATCTCTGAACACGAAATACTCCTGGGTCCTAACTATAGTCCTATCGCCCCTGGAGGCCCAGGAATAACGCAGTGAGTGACCCTTGACATTCCCCTAGAGTCCTTCCAGCTCGGCTCTCTGACTTAAGTGCACACTCCCATTCCCCAAGCTCCACCAACACTACCAAGCTTCCCCCCTCAGGGAAAATGTTAAAAAAGGTTATTTTTAAATAGAAAAGAAATTAAGGTAGAAAGGAGAACTTTTCAGTAGGTGATCTCTCTCTCTCTCCCTCTCTCTCTCTCTCATACAGTCTATGGAAGTGGTTAGCAAATTATGGCCAAAAAGCCAAATTGGGCCCAGTGCCTGTTATTATACAACTTGTGAGTCAAAAATGGCTTTTACACATTTAAATGGTTGAAACAAACTCCTTTAATAAGTGCCATGAGTTGGGCCCTGCTTTCGTTTATATTTTATGGAGAAGATTTCATGACATGAAAATTACCTGACGTTTAAATTTCAGCCCACCTGTAATGTTGCGTGGGAACAGGCACGCCCACTGTTCACACATGTTGATAGCTGTTTCACACAGCTCCAGACAGTGTGTGTGGTTGTAGTAGAGTGCATGAACCACCAAGCCCACAAAATTTACCATATGCCCATTTTTAGAACAAGTTCGCCAGTTTCCACTCTCTGATCTATATTTACTACATACAGTGTTATAATAAGAGAAGTGTTATATTTGACATTCATATATTTGATATTCACATGTTACACTGAGGGTGCATTAAAGTCTATTATTTTAAGAGTGTAATGAAAAACTGGGAAAAGCCTAAGCATCTACTAATAAGCAGGTGACTAAATGAAGCGGATATATTTATAAAATAGAATATAAAAATTAACGGGTTAGGAGTGAGCAGGGGAGAATTTAATGCTCCACACTGCTGAATTGTTCATATTTTTCCAAAGAGCATGAATTGCCTTGTAATTTTAAAAAGCTCTCAAGCCCTAGCTGACTTGGCTCAGTGGATAGAGCATCAGCCTGCGGACTGAAGGGTCCTGGGTTCGATTCCAGTCAAGGGCACATGCCCACGTTGCGGGCTCCATACCCAGTAAGGGGTGTGCAGGAGGCAGCCAACCAATGATTTCCCCTCATCATTGATGTTTCTCTCTCTCTCTCCCTCTTCCTTCCTCTCTGAAATAAATAAAAATATATTAATAAATAAATAAATAAATAAATAGCTCTCAAATCCTCAGTTCCAGGCTAAGGACAGCTCCTTTCTAAATTAAGTGCAATTGGTGCCTCGGAATCGGGCCCTCCTCCTGGTTCCAGGGCAGGGAACTCTATTGCTCCCAGGACATCAAGTCCTCGGGTGCAGGCCTGGGTCACCAGGCCAGTCCTGACCACACGGGGTGTCGGCACCCAGGCTCTGCCCTGCGCTCCTGGACCACACACAGAAAGCCAACCTTCGGACGGAGGCTGTGGCTGCGGCTGCGGTGGCGGCTGCTCCAGCTGCTTCTTCCGTTTGGCTTCTAGAACTGGGTTCTCATACTGTGTCTTCCTGTTGATGTGGCTGGAGCGGAAGCAGAGAGCACCCGGTTAGGAAACGTCTCATCCCACAAGCAAATGCCAGTCGGGCCAAGTCCCGGGATTAGAACCGAGCAGACAGGTGCCCGAGGCTCTGAGCATCTCGTGTCACGTGCAGGTCGGCAGAGGGAGGAAAACGGGCTCCGTGTGACTGCTGTACGCACCCCGCCTCGTGCGGTGAGATTTACGGGCATTGTACCTTAAAATCTTCAACCAATGCCAGGAGGTAGGCCCTGTTTCCATTTATATTTTAGGGACTAAAAACAGTGAATGTCTGAGCAGTTAAGCAACAACTTGCCTAACGTAACTTAGCTAGTGAACAGTGCAGAGGCTGCTTCCAAACCTCAGACTCTCAAGTGTTCAGGGAATCACCTGCCGGGTGAACTGCTTTCATTCAACAAGAAATAGATTACAGAAGTATTAAGATATGAGATTAAAATGGAGGTGTGACGATGTCTATAACATATAATGCCAAAACTGCCGTGTGGCTGTCCACAATGATGAAGTTAAAAGGACTCTAACAACATCTGTCAACTATTTGCAACAACAGACATGGAGTCAGGATTAAAAGTATAGATCAAAAGTCAGAGAGACTCCCCAGGCAGCTAACCTAAGCCAATGGGGTGTGTTCAAAGTGACAAAGACCCAGGATGATCCCAGAACTAATAAGGCCCATGGCAAAACACACATACATACACATGTACATATACATACATACATAATGAATACACAGGTGTTTTTTGCCAAGGTCTTATTTAGTATCTGCCTATGTACATACACACGTTCTCTAAATACACAGAAGCATAAACATATTCAGATTTTTTCTTTCTTCATGAAAATCACACTTCCCTAGACGTTTGGGAACATATCGGTAATAGGGTGATTTAGAATCAAAATTCTTTTTAAAGCCAGGATTTCTTTTCCAAAGGCAGGCTTGTCAAATAGGGTGGATAGACTAATTACCCTTGATTTTTATTGTAGGACTGCTTGTTTACTTCCTGATTCTTGTAGGCAATTTCATGCTAAGATAGAGTCTAACATTCCCGGGCATTGGATTTAAGACACAAGGAGGGAAAGTGCGCAGTAAGAAAACAAACAGCCACTCAACCACGCCTCTGCATCAAGGCTGCGGTACCTGCTCCCTTTCACACACAAGTTCCTTGAGGGAGAACTCACAGTGAGCCCCACACAGGCAACCCCCACCGCACAGTGCGAGAAAGGAGATCTGCCGGCCACAAAGGAATTCTGTTTTATGAAGGTCGGAGATTTTCCTTTCTGATGCCCCAAGTCACCAATCCTCTTGATAGGAAAAGAGGTGGTGATAGGAGTAATGCCCAAGGACACTTGCTATATTGAACTCGGAATTTTTCACAGTAAGATGCCGCGCATTTTATGATCTGGCATTGTTGCCTCATGTTCTTATCACCGGGTTTTATACAAATGACCCACCTAGCTCCTAGCGGTAGCAGGAGGGACAGAGCTCGCCAGGCAGGATTATGACAGAACATTTATATGGTGTTTGTTTCTTTCAAAGGGTCTTTTATTAGCTATCTCTCATCTTTCTCAGAGAAAATGACATAAAGCAGATTCATTCAATGTTTAATCACTTGGGTTTCCTTTACTTTCTTGGGTGTCATCCTACTAACTGATGGGTTTGACGGGAAGGCGAGTGCACGCCCACTGCTAGAGAATGGTGCACAGTAAAGCCGTCATGATGAGGGCGGGGCAGTCTTAGAAACGAAAACCAGGAGCCACGTGTATGGTCCTCAGGCCGGGGAGAGGCACAGAGGCACCAGGACCTTGCAGGTTAGGCTAGTTCTCAGTTTCCTTCTCAATCTTGGCAACATTTCATACATTATTAAGATGTGTCTGATCCTTTTAGAAAGTCTGAATGAATTAGCAAGTAATTACTGAGCAGTTCAGACTTGGGCAGGGCAAAAAGTGGGCAAACAGGTCCTCCTCCTGAAGATGGCCCTCCTCACTTGGTCTAGTGAATGGTTGCTTGTCTGAGATTCATTCATTCATTCATTCATTCATTCAAGTAATACTAAGTGCCTGCCCTACACCAGGACTGTCGAGCCTTGGCAGTGTAGTGGCAAACAAAAGACACAGCGTTGGCCCTCATGACTCTTATAATATAATTTGTTGTCTTCAGATTTGCTGAATATTTTCTCATTCATTAAAATAGACATATATTTTCACTATAAAATTATGTTATTATCATTATTTAGTTTATACCGTATAATGATGGCAAACTCGGTTCAGCATAAATGTACGTGATGACAGAGGGTACAAGCTATAGTGTGGATTAGTGGACACTTACTCTACATAGTAGATACCATAGACAGGGTCTTCAATCTTTTCCCAACCGGCAGGCAGTTCTGAAAAATAAAAGGACATTTAGAGAGAGAAGAGCATATTCTTAAAGAGCCTACGGATTTTCAACAAGTTAGGCAAAAAGAAGTTCATAAAAGTACCTTAAGGCCATTTAAAACTGTGTATCCTAAAAGAAAAGCCAGTATTATTTTTATTTTATCAGTGCATTTTTTCTACACAAAGAACAATTATTTACTGGTATTTTGCACAAGCAAATGAAATGTAATAAAATGCAGTCCCAGGTGCCTTCATTCTAAACCAACTATTAAATTAGACTTTAATAAAAATGTAGTTAAAATTTGCCCAGTTCCTATCTTAAATATTTATAGTTTTCTCATTTTATTTCTAGACTACCTAACACGAAAGCAAAATTAGATAAAAATGTGTTACTTTTCATGCTCTTTTCATCGTGCTGTTTTTCACTTCCTGGAATAAGGTAAGATGTACATCTTATTTTCTCCTCGTTCCTAATAAAAAAGCTACCAAATAGACATGCCCACAGTGAGTTGTGTTTCTGAAATTCATGCGCCCATCCCTTACCACTCTACCTGGACCGGCCTATTTCACCAGCAGTTTGCCTACGAAAGCAGAAACACAGGTCTCACTAGCCTACATTTCCTTCAAATGTGGTGGTAAATGGCATCGGGGGGCCCACACACAGGGGTGGGCAAAAGTAGGCCTACAAGTTGTTCGCATGGAGAAGGACACGCAGGTTATGGCTATTACTATGGCTTTATTAAGTCAAAAGAAGGTCACATGCAGCCGTGAACCCACTTTGCCATCCCTGTGGGTGTGCCTTTCTGAAAATTCGACGGTGCTTTACTGGACTGGACTTTGTAAGGTTCAGATCAAAGGCTGGCACTTTACTAACTAGGTCACAGTGAGGGCTGTTACACCAATTGAGTGCGAGAAAGCCCACTGCACCAGATAAGCTGACGTGGTGAAAAAAGCGACTAAGGTTGTGTTCTGTGTCATTAAACAAAGTCTAGGCGGAGAACAATTACTCGACTTAATTTGAAAGCCACCTGATACATACATGGGTACACAGCTGAGGCAAGCTTGTATAACACAGGGCTCCAAAGCGAGTCATCATTCCTAGAAGGAGCCATTAAATAAACCCACTTAAGTGGAACTTACAAACACTGAATATATTTTGAAATGCTAGATTTTTTAAAATTCATGGACTCACGTGACCATTATTTTTAAATAGTGACCGTTTCATCAGGGCTTACATATGCCACCAACGGTTCCATGCTGAAGTGGGGTCCTGAGCGTGCACTCAAACACACAGGTTAATTGCTTCAAGTTCACGCCTTCCCCAAATGTGGCTGCACATCGAGACACATTAATTTCATGGTTTCTGCTCCACAGTGTGTTTGCAAACAAAAAGACAAGGTTCCCCCCCTCCCTGGCCCCTTTCTTCTAATTTAAAAACACACACACTGAGCAGGTTTTAAAGAAGTCTTTGAATTTCTTTAAAAAATTCAAAGATGTAAGCCACTAAAAGGCTAGACAGGTCCAATTTACAGATGTTGATAAAACTTGGCATTTTTTATATACGCAGAGTCTTGTGGACTAATGCAAATCACATGCTGGGGAAATGGTTTCCCTTACAACACTGGAAATTACCATTTAAATTAAAAAGAACCGGGAAGATATTTCCAAGGAGTTAGGAAATCAAAGATTAAAAAAATGCAAATTGGTGCACAGTCTTGTATTTGTGCAGGCATGGGGCAGGGGAACGGGTGAGTGGGAGAGGGCCCCATTATGTTTAATGGGCCAACTTTCTTTTCAGAATCTACAACCTTAAATATTTGGCCCTATTATCTTCAGATAAAATAGGGAAAACATTAAGAATTCAATTCATCCCATCATTAATTTCTCAAACATTTAGTGAGTGCCTGCTGTCTGCCGGAGTGTGCTAGGCACCCGGACACAGGTCACTACGAGTGCCCCATCTGAGCGGGCAGTTCAAACACTGCAGGTAAGTGCTCTGGTGGGGGTCGGAGGGTTCGAGGAAAGGGCCACTCTGCCTGCCTTGCCACCCAGTCAACAGAGAATGAGGTCGCTCAACTAGGATGTCTGGACATTTGCAAATCTAAACACAGCTTCTGGGACAGATGAGCAAACTGTAAAAATGTTCTAGTTTTTCAAGTAAAACTCATTCAAAAAAGAAAGATAGATTTTGATTTCTCACTTCCAAGGTGGTGATTAGTTTAATAATAGGAATTAGTCCCCCCTACTGCTTAAAATAGAAATGGGTCATCAATTTAAAAAATGAAGATGTTTGTCCTCAAATTTGCCAATTTGGCTCTAAAAAACTGAAAATAGCATAAAATACTGAAGTTCAGAAAAAAATGGCATCATCTGACCAGACTGCACAGCCTGTGCCGAGATTTCAGGCACCAGGACCCACTGGGGCTGCCCAGCCCTGGATGAACTGGGCTCCCCCGCGGAGAACTGGACCTGGTCTAGTTAGTCAACATCCTGGGAGCAGATCTTTCTCCTGGATTGACCTCAAAGGCCACGGCAGATTAAATGAAGGTGTTTGTAAAACACTTTGCACAGCACCGGCTGGCACACGAGGAATGGACAGCTTTGTATGGCCTGCTTGCTTGCTGATCCACCTCTGAAAACCTCATGTTGTACTAATTGCCATCACAGAAGCAAATACGAAGCAGTCGAATGTTCTAAGTTCTTTTCTAAGGGACTCGTCAGCACACAGACAGAAAGTCATGCTCATACTCAGAGATACATTTCAAAGCTGTGACTTAGTTTGGGTTGGAGGAGACCTCCTCTCTACTCTCCTAGTTGCGTTCAGCACACGAATACCCTGTGATTCCAAAAGGTTTGCAAGTGCTTTTCAATTCTAGGGAGATGTTATCAAAGAGGATGTGCCCCATTCTGCAAACCAAACGTGCATGATGAAGCTATTGACCTGATCACACAACAGTTCAGAAATGACAACTCTATCATCAAAGGATGTGTCCAACCCGTGCCAGCAACCCCTGCCTCAGAGGCAGATTTCAGAGGGGGTGTCCTGGTCGCATCTGGAATTGCATTGTTCACCAGAAACCTGACAGTTGCTATTGTTTAAGATTAGGTCCTTCTTGTTTAAAAAAAATGGTCAATGGCTTGTCAATAGAATCTGGAGCAAATGCAAAGAAAACAGTGTGTGTATGTGTGTGTGTGTGTGTGTGTGTGTGTGTGTGTGTGTGTGTGTGTATGTACACTACTCTTTGCAGTGAACACATACAGGCAAAAATCAGCCCTATTCCCTTACACCTTCAAGGACACATTCGGGCCATTTCTATAGTACACATGTTCCTCTCCTGTTCCATATTAAAGGCAAAAAGTACCATAAGGAAGTACTGAAAAGTCCATAAGAGGGACTTAGGTAATCCTATATAATAAAGAGGTAATATGTAAATTGACCCTCATGCCCTCACAAGATGGCTGCCTATGACCAGGCCGGCAGGGGGGTTAGTGAGGGACGACCAAATGACTGAACAAGCAGGCTGCGTGCAGTGACCAGGCTGGCAGGGGGTTAGTGAGGGATGACCAAATGACTGAACA